ATATGTTATGTGTTTGGGCACATACATACATTTGTGTCTTCCTAAATACGGCATTGGTTTTGGTTCTACTATACTCCTTTTTGTGACGTCTTGATTGTCAAGTTTTCTTCGTACAGCTAAAAAAAAACATCTATTTCAAGTGTTTTTGCCTATTTGTAACAATTTTGAGGTTTTGACCAGCTTTTGTTCTAAAGGGAACAACTGTGCATTGTATGGTCCTTCTCATTGTTCTTCATCAGCAGTTCTTTCAGTCGATGCCTCGTCGACTTTGGAAAGCAACCGTTTCGAGGCGAATGTGTGAGTGCTGACCACATTTTGCGTCCATTGCTGCAATGGAAGCGCTCTGATCCCCGTTGGTGATACTGCCATACAATGAAACCACTGGAAGCGACTCCCGTTCTGGTGGAGAAGGCTTATTGGATAGCGGAAGATAAAATGTTGTTGTACCTTTTGTCTTTAGATGTATTGTAAAGTGAACAAAAATCCTCGGCTCTGTTAAGTTAATTTAGTAGAGCTTTATCAAATAACTTAATAATAAAAAAAAAAACAAGTTAGAGGTCACCCCCGAAAAAAAAAACACGCAAATGGGTCATTCCAACTCAAGTGGGTGCACCACCTGTGGTCGTTGTCACCGATTTGAGTCAAACCTGGCCAAAACGCTTATTTTGGGCTTCTGAAAAAAAACAGCTTTTTTTATTTTGCTCTGAAGTGTCTAGATCCCTCCCGGATACAACCCTGGATTTTCGAGATTTTTTAAAGATTTCAACTTTCAGAAGAGATTACTCCACAACCAAATGAGCTATTCGTGATCTTAGAACGTCAATTTGAAGGTTTTTCAATTAAGATTTACATAGTGGTACCCACATTTTGTTTTTGATATACTAACAACAGTAAACAGATTGATAACCACCAGGTATTTAAATTGTCAAAAAATGGCCTGTTTTTACCATGGGCGGGATTTCTGTTTCTAAATATTTTGGGCTCAAATTTTCACCTTTACTTACATACTTAAGGGTCCTGTGCACCACCAGTGGTGCAAAGGGCCAACGTGAAAGACTTCCATCCTGGTCGGCTGCTCGCTTTTGCCTTGGCCCAGGTCAGATTCCTATCGACTTGCTTAATTTCCTTATTGAGGCTCCACCGCCATGAGCCCCTGGATTTGCCTCTGCTGCGATGACCTGCCGGATTCCAATCCAGTGCTTGCTTGCAGATTTCGTTTCCGCCCCGTCGAAGTGTGTGGCCGACCCACCTCCACTTTCGCTCTCGAATTTCTGTTGCTATCGGCTTCTGATGACATCGACGATGGAGCTCGGCATTCGAGATCCAGTTGTGAGGCACGAATTATATACCGCAGGCATCGGATGATGAAGACCTGCAGCTTTTAAGTGTTCTCCGCTGATACACACCACGTCTCGCTGAAGTATAACAACACAGATTTCACGTTCGAGTTGAAAATTCGGATTTTGGTGCGTTGACTTATCTGGTTGGATCTCCATACGTTTCGTAAACTCGCAAAGGCAGCCCTAGCCTTCTTGATTCGTGCACCTATGTCGCTCTTGGTCCCGCCGTCCGACGCTATTTGGCTGCCAAGATATTGGAAACTTTCGACCTTCTCCACTGCTTGCCCCACTACCGTAAAGTTGGAAGGGTTGCCCGTGTTGACATCAAACGATTTGGTCTTGTTGACGTTGATGGTGAGACCCGCCGCAGAGGAGCGTTTGGCTAGTTCATTGAGCTTACTCTGCATATCAGAGCGCCGTTGTGCTAGTAGAGCAACATCATCAGCCAAATCGAAGTCGTTGAGATGCTCCATGGTGATAGGCTGCCAAAGCACCCCACGGTTCGGTACACGGTCAATTGCACCTACCATGATCTCGTCAATTACGATGAGAAACAGTAGCGGTGATAGTATACATCCTAGTCTCAAACCAGCGACTACCCGAATAGAGTCGGACAAGGCTCCGTTATGCAGAACTCTGCACGTGAAAGCCTCATACTGCGCTTCGATGAGGTTGACGATTTTATCCGGGACTCCCTTGCGTCTCAGGGCGCCCCACAGATTCTCGTGATTGAGACGGTCCAAAGCTTTTTCGTAGTCAATGAATACCAAATAAAGGGACTCTTGGAATTCATTGACCTGCTCCAGGATGATGCGGAGCGTGACAATATGGTCCACACAAGATCTTCCGGCACGGAATCCTGCCTGCTGCCGTCGGAGAGTCGCGTCGATCTTCTCCTGTATCCGATTCAGGATAACTTTGCACAGAACTTTGAGAACAATACACAGTAACATGATGTCTCGCCAATTGTCGCACACAGTCAGATCCCCCTTCTTTGGGACCTTCACTAAGATGCCCTGCATCCAGTCGGCCGGAAAAGTCGCGGTGTCCCAGATATTACAGAATAGTTGATGCAACATTTGTACGGATAGCATGGGGTCAGCTTTGAGCATCTCTGCTGATATGCGATCGACCCCTGGAGCCTTGTTGGATTTCATGCTTCGGATAGCTGCTTCAATCTCCTGCAGTGCTGGGGCCTCGGAATTGACGCAAGTGATGCGCCGCACCCTAGGCGGATCATGCCGAGATGTTAATGGCTGGTTGGCCGTCGAAACTTGAAGAAGTTGTTCGAAGTGCTTAAACCAGCGTTTCAGCTGGTCAGTGGGGTCGGTAAGCAATTGTCCAGTCGTGTCCTTCACTGGCATCCTCGGGTTCATCCTTGCTCCACTCAGGCGTCGTGAGATATCGTAGAGGAGGCGTATATCGCCAGTGTTTGCGGCTTTCTCCCCTTCGTCGGCCAGGGAGTTCACCCACGCTCGCTTGTCCCGTCTGCAAGAGCGCTTGACTTCCTTCTCTAGAGCCGAGTACAGTTGACGGGCTTCGTTCTTGGCTCCTCTGGTTCTCACCCGCTCTATCGCGGCTTTTGCTTCTCTACGTTCCTCAATCTTCCGCCAGGTTTCATCTGTGATCCACTCTTTCCTCTGGGTGCGCAACTCACCCAAGTTGTTCTCGCCTGTTTCTATAAAGGCATTCTTGATGGCCGTCCATTGTTCTTCTACGCTGCCACCTTCTGGAACGTCCGCAGCTCGAGTCTCAAGTTCTTCAACAAAAGACCTTTTTACCGCTGGATCTTCAAGTCGGCGTGTGTTGAACCGCCGCCCGAGTCTCTCCTCCCGTCGCTGGATCCGCGCCATGCGTAGGCGGATTACACCGATTAGAAGGTGATGGTCAGGCGCGATGTCGGCGCTGCGTTTATTCCGAACATCAAGAAGGCTCCGTCTCCATTTTCGGCTGATGCCGATGTGGTCGATCTGATTTTCGGTATGTCCATCACGGGAAACCCACGTGACTTTGTGCACTGGCCGATGGGGGAAGAGCGAGCCCCCGATCACCATGTCGTTATTGCCACAAAATTCTGCACACAGCTCACCGTTCTTGCTCATTTCGCCGAGAACATGGCGTCCCATGACACGCTCATAGTCCGTGTTGTCGGAGCCGATCTTCGCATTGAAGTCACCAGTGTAGATCTTGATGTCACCCGTTGGAACCTTATCCACGACGGCATTCAGTTGACTGTAAAAATTCTCCTTGTCTTGTAGCTCGGCAGCATCGGTTAGCGCATAACATTGGATTATGGTAAGGTTACGAACCCGTGCTCTAAATCTGACAGCCATTATCCTCTCATTAACAGGCTCCCACTTGATGAGCGCAGCACTTGCCTGAACGCTAAGTAGGAGACCAACTCCACGATGGCGGGGAGCTGATTTTCTCAGTAATGAGTCGGCCAAATTATGAAATGAAATTGTTGGTACAGCTCTAATTCCACCATAATTGCGGCAAGCAGTTCTGGATTTCTTTGTACCTCAAGCGCTCAGGACATAAATTGTCGAGAAAATATGGTGGCAGAATAAAATTTATTACTTTTCTGGAACCCACTCTACCTAGAATCCGAGCAAAGAGTTCATCAGCAATAAAGTAAAATCCCCCCCATACACGCTCGTTACAGTCAGTCAGCTGATTGCAGGTCAGCTTGCGTGCGCTATGAAACCAACGCCCAATGATAAAGTAATGAATTAATCAAACCGTAGCGTTCTGATTTCGATGCCAGGATGGAACGGGGGTGACAGTTGATGGATAATTACGATTTCCCGTTACAGGCGTTCATTCTCAGGGTGCAAACTTCCCCGCGAGCACTACGGGCCGTCCATCGAAGTGAGTGCTCCAAGCAAAGGGGCTGTGCTAAAATTTGCTTCCAATCACCGGAGCCCCCGAAGGCATTCGCTAGTACACGCACCTTGCTGGATGGGAAAATTCAATTACCGTACAAGAACAATTACATTACAAGCTAGAGCTTACTTCTCGTGTATGGTCAAAGTGCCCGGAAGGGATTCGAACCCATTCAAATAGCAAGAGTGAGAGAGAGAAAGAGAGACACGGGCTTGATTGAAAATTACTTTGGCGGAAGCCTTCGGCTACCGGTGGGATGATTTATTCACAATCACTTGGGTAATGCTAATTGCGTCCGCTTTCCGTGTAACGATGACCCTGAGCTGAATTGAATTGAAAGTTCACAACCGGCGGGATTCGATTTGTCAGGATATCGAACACGGGAAAACTTAATACCAATCAAACCATCTGCCACTTATCGGATTTTTCTCACTATCATCCCTTATATGTACCACAAAGGCGCTTCCGATCGGTCACGATTGAACCATAAAAATATGTTTGGTATTTATGTTCATCGTGTTCGCTCGTTGCCAGTTGGCCAGCTTTATTGCCTCTCACCAATCGAACAAGATTTATAATCATTCCCTTTTGAGACGGTTCCTCGAGGAGTTCGGTGACTGCTGCACCATCGCCGAAGATAATTTATTGCAACAGACCGACGACTCTCAGCCGCGGTATCTCCTCTCGATTGGACGACACACAACTGTTCAAAAGTTTTTCTTCGTTTTTTTTTCTTTTTTCTGATTGCCCTTTTTCTCCATTTTCTACTTTCAGATGGTGACGAGAACGAAGAAGATATTTGTGGGTGGTTTATCAGCACCTACCACACTGGAGGACGTGAAAAGTTACTTCGAGCAATTTGGACCGGTAAGTAGATGCTCATAGCCCCATTCATGAAAGGATTGAAGAAAAAAATCAGCTGAAAAGTCAACTCCCCCCTTTGGATAGGGATTTTGTGGGCGGGGAAGGAAAGGCGAGGTGAAAATTGCTTTGCCAGAATCAGTCTGGAAAACAATTTTAAAACTCGGCTTAAAAGTTCCGCTTCGGCCTGATCCAATTGTCCGAAGCGAATTCCCCGAAGCGATTTTGCGCTGTGTCTCGATTCACCTGTCGAGTTCTCTTGGTCGGTTGTGTGTATGTGTGTGTTGGTGTGCATGTTGGATCTGGTTTAGGTTTTTATGTTTCGCTTGCCATAGACGTGTAAATATGTTTGAGTAAGGGCTTTTGTACAGTTCTAGTTTTTTACTAAATTAAATAGGGCAAAGGGGGGTGTTAACAAAAACGGTCACCATTAGACCACCGAACCCCTAATATCACTGTTATAACCTTTCAATCCTGGCTGATGGCTTATTTCAACTGTCATGCGAAATGAAGCATCAGCAGGGAAATGACAACATATAGCCGCATGACCTCTTCCAATATAAATATCTGGTCAGGTTGAGTACTGAATTGCTTCTGTCAATATTTACCCTTTGGATGTACGCTTAGCAAATAGTGACGGTTCCACAGCCGTCAAAATTGGTCTCGAAGATACCGATGAAGTTGTCAACGAGCACTTCTGATTTTGAAGGATCACTGGAAAAAGCACATAACGGCTTGGAATTCATCATTGCATCAGCTTGTGCCGCTCCGCTTGCGTACTCTTCAAACGTCAGCAGTGAAGCCTTCAAGCTTGTCACTCCCGTACCATGGCACAGTAAAGACGACAACAGAAGGATTTTACGGATCTACAGATCCAGATCATGGAAGAACTTCTGTGGATCGAACCTAACAGAAAAACATGTTACCAACCCTAATCTGTGCACACCGCTGAACCTATCGTTTTTGCAATTTGGAAACATGAAAGTTGCCGGAAAAATGCGAGCAAAAAGCCATTCTAGCGGAAAAGTTTTTCCACCTCCAATTCTTGCCTTCGCTGCGCTAAAGTCACAATTGCTGGCCGCAGCAGAAACCCTTTTTACCGTGTATTTGTCCTGTATGCAGCGGATCGGTTCAACTTGGGATAAACGCTTGTTCTTCTCTGTTTTTTCCCGGAGGCAACTTGTAAGATTTCCTCCCCACCGGTTGGAACTGCTCATTCGAGTCCGCTGAAAATGTTTTAACGTATTTAAAACTAAAATTAAATTCGTATTAGCTCAACTTTATTATATTCCATACACCACGGAAAGCGACCAAGCGACAACGACGACGACGACAGCAACAACACTACAAGAGTGCGGAAAAGTTTTTCCCCGAGTTGTAACGCGAAACAAAGTACTTGTCTTCCCCCCGGAAAACCTCAGTAACGCGTTGGAGAGCCACAAACCACCGACCTCCACGGCAGGGTCGGGTTGATGGTGGTTCTTGGGAAACAACCTCGCCGATTTCTCCAACTCCTCTCATCAGAAATGTTCTCCAGAAGGTGAAACACGATAATCACACCCACGCACGCACACACTCACACACACCCAAGCGCCTCTAGATTGCAACTAAAACCAGCTACGTGTTTTCCGGGTTTAACAAAAAAAAAAAAAAAGAAAACATCCCAAAGAGGCGATAACGTTTAGCTGGAAGAGGTGGTAAAATGCTGCTTCTCCGGTAGCAACAACCTAAATGATTCGCACACTTAAATCGAGTTGAAAGGAAATTTGAAAAACTACCATCCCCATTACCAACGAGCACTTGGCGGGGAAAGTTTTCCAAGTTACTACTCGGAGATGCCTGGTTGAGGACGACGACGGTGGTGGTGGTGGGGAAACTTTGCTCGCCCAGGAAATATGAGCGGAGAAGATCTAATTTAATCATGTCGTTTCATTTGTTACACGAGTTGTGTTGTTACCTGATGGTTATACGTATGGTGAGATGATGACGGTAGTGCCTCGGTCGGTCGGTCGGTCGGTCGGTCGGTGGGAAAGTGTTGCCATAAACAATGGATTACGGGATGACTGCTGATGGTGGTAGTAAGTGGCGTTGATGGGTTCAACTTTAGACTGGATTATGAAAGATGGTTATGGATGTTGGGTAATGAATTTGAGAAAGTTTGTCGAGTTTTGCGGCGTTGTTTGCCAGGTAAATATGTGCATTTTGAACTGAATATGACTTAGGAGACGTTAAAGGGAACGGTAATGGTATGTTTAGGGTAGTATGCTTTATATTCCTATTAAATATACCCTAAAGTTCAGAATCAGGTACAGTGAACCTCCATGATGATTTTGAGATATGTGCGTTGGTTGGAATTTCTGAGAGCAAGACTCGAGTAAACTGGTCAGTTCCACCCTACATGTAATCTGAGCCTACTACACTGGAACCTCCATTTACCAACCAAACCGGGGGTTCGTAAATCGAATTAGTTCGTAAAAAGAAAACTCGTTATTTGGGATTCACTTCGTAAAAAGAGGTTTTTGAAAATATTGTCAAATACCCCACAATATTGGCATTTATGGAATCGGGGAGACGTGTAGGGACCGGAAATCCATGCCTGACGCCATTTTGAAATCCGAGATGGCGGTTTCCGGTTCATGAAAAACTGAAAAATACTGTCAATACCCCACAATATGGGTATTTTTGGAATTGGGGTTACGTGTACGAACAAGAAATCTATGTCTGACGCCATTTTGAAATCCAAAATGGTGGCATCCGGTTTTAGAAAACCTGGAAAATAATGTCAAATAGCCCACAATATGGGTATTTTTGGGATCAGGGTTACGTGTACGAACCGGAAATCCATGCCTGATGCCATTTTGAAATCCAAGATGGCGGTATTCGGTTCATGAAAAACTGAAAAATACCATCAATACCCCACAATATGGGTATTTTTGGTTTTCTGTACCCGGATGCCGCCATCTTGGATTTCAAAATGGGGTCAGAAATAGCTTTCCAGTTCCTACATGTCACCTTGATTCCAAAAATACCCATATTGTGGGGTATTGACAGTATTTTACAGTTTTCATAAACCGGATACCGCCATCTTGGATTTCAAAATGGCGTCAAACATCGATTTCCGGTCCCTACACGTCACTTCGGTTTCCAAAGATACCCATATTGTGGGGTATTTCACAGTTTTCCCAGATTCCCAAAACCCCAAAAAAACTTGTTATTTGGAATTTATTTCTTAAAATAAAAACTTCGTTATTTAACGTAAATTGAATACTGCGTAAAAAAGACTTCGACAGTGTATTTATATATAAGGCACTTCCATTAGGCACTAAATGAAACTTTCAACATGTCCAATTCTCTACAACTTCTTCTTGGATTCAATTTTGGTACAATAAACGGTTTTAGCGCTAACATATGGACCCTTTTAAAAAAAATAGTCTTGTATCTGTCTTGTCTCGTGATCTGTGGAAAAATTATAATCTTTCATACTGAAGACTTGTTGAAAGATTCATCAAAATTGTAGTGCCAAGTCGTTTGCTCATTTAACAGAGAGTTGCCTCAATCTGAAATTTACATGGAAATCAAGGATCCGAAAAATTATTCCTGATGCCCTTCTGGTATTAAGACGATCTGATAGCGATTTGGGAGATCACTGTAGTTTGTGTTAAGATTCTAAATCAATTGGTTAGGAATTGACATTGTATCTTAAAATACACTGGATCAGCCTCGAAGTACAGATAAACATACGTAACATTTCATGGTGTATCTTCGTTTACGCATTTAACGGTTGATTTGAATATTATCAGTTCCGCGATCTACTCGCCGCTGCGCTGGCATCGGATCACTTTGACGTTTCTATACATTCTATAGAACTTTTATGCAAGCTTATTTTAGATAGCGAGCAAGCTTATTTTCCGCGAGAAGCCCGAGAGATGTCGTTACTGAGGTCCTATGTTTTGAGATACTATGTTTTCAGGACAAACTTTTTCAAAGAGTTACGTCTGTTTTTCTGTGCTTGAAAACCCTCTGGGCTTACTCATCAAAAAGTCGTGACAAGTCAAAAACTTTCATTAGATTTACTCTTAAGATTTCCATTGTTCAACCTGAATGGCTTCTTGACTAGGTTCTCGATAATTATCCTGGAGATACACAGTAAACTGGCCCAAACAATAAAAGTTCTAATTTTCCACGGGTCCTCCCCCAGACCTCTTTGGACGCCTTGCCCTTTTCCTCCCGGAACCACTTGTCGTATTACTTCGGAGGGGGCTGTGCACTACACACCTCACTTTACCTCAGCTTACTGACGCTTCCAGTTCGCTGATCGTCTCTCCAATTTGTAAGCCATTTAGCTCCCAGCGTCGCGTTCTACTCGGCTTACCCCCAGCGGTGGATTCGGCCTACTCCGACGGAGAATTCTCCCGGCTTCGGCTGTCACCATTTTCGCTGCAGCGCTGACATGATCTGCGGTACTGCTCTGCTGACGGCGTTAAAGGTACTCTCCTCTCGACACATTTCTTCGACGACATTCTCCGCGCTAAGGGCGAGCATCTCCTCTCGCACAGCATCTTCCTTGGTAATTCTTCCACATTCCCACACTCCGGACAGAAGGGTGACGTTGTGTGTCGGAACCGATGCAGCCATGACCAAACAGGAACTGCGTCAAGTAGAAGTTGACTTCTCCATGCTTCCTGTTCACCCAGGTCGAAAGAATCGGTATTAGCCTGTGTGCTCATCTACCGTTCTCCGCTGCATCCCACTCCTGCTGCCACTTAACCATCGGCACCGTTCTCACCATTTTTCGTACTCCTCTAGTTTCTCTCCTCATATACCACTCGTAGTCCTCCGCCAAGGTGATGCCTTCTCGCACGCACATTCGATGTGGCTGTTAAATGTTAGCCGGTCGTCGATCATCACTCCCAGCTTCGACATAATCGCGTACTCTCCAACGGTGATTTCTGCTCGCTGCAGGCTTTACAGTTACTGACCAACATCAGTTCTGTTTTGTGGTGGGC